CCTGCCACGCTGACGTGGAGCGGATGCTGCTGGAAGCCCAGCTAGAGACGGAGAGCGGGGACGGGTGAGTTGCAAGGAGGAGCCGGGCCCCGGAGCTCTGCCGGGCCAGGCTGGGCTCGGTGACCGAGGGGGTCTGTTTGCAGGGCCCTGCTCGTGCTGGACGCTCCAGCCTGGAATGACGGTGGAGCTGGGCAGGCGAGCGAGCAGTCAGGGGAGAGCGAGGTCCTTCCTGCACACAGCCAGCCCCCACAGGGCTGCCCCCACCCCCAGCAGGTAAGGGAGCTGTCCCCTACCCTTCTGCACCCCTGGGCCCTGCTCTGACCTGCCCTGTGTCTCCTTCCAGGGGGATACGCTGGAGGAAACCAAGCGGAGACAGCGACTCCTGCCAGCGTCCCTGGGCTGGGCCTGTACCCGCTGCCCCCGGTACCTGTCTCCAAAGTAAGTCTTGTCTCCCCCACCAGCATGTCCTGCTGTCCCTGTGCCCCCATTAACCCTGCACTTTTCCCAGGGAATTTGCCTTTGTGTGCTCCCCCCAGCCTGTGCTGTGGAGCCTGCAGGGAGGTGCAGTGGGGAGGAAGAAGAGACTTTTCAGTTCAGAGCTGCTGCTGCTCTTCATCCCCTCGCTGCTGCTCAGCCACCTCCTGACCCTGGGGCTGGGGTGAGTGTCAGGGGGGAGTCTCACCCTTGGGCTGGGGTGACTGGGGGTCCCACCCACGCTGCCGGGGGACCGGTCCCGGGAGCACAGGCAGGCTGGGCCTACAGTGGGTGTCTGTGCAGTCGGGGGCTTCCTGGGTGCCGCTGGCTGCCCTGATCCAGAGGAATGTCCCCACAGGAAGCTTGGGGAGGGGGAAATGCTCCTGGGTTTGGGCTGCTCATCCTCGAGTGCTGTCCTGCACCACTTCTCCCAGCAGCTGCAGTGGACTGCTGCCATCTCCCCTTGCTCCTGCCTTGCTGGGGCCCAGCAGGCTGTGCCCATGCTCATGCCTCACGGTTGCTCTCTCCAATCCAGGATCTACATTGGGAAGCACCTGGCAGCCACCTCGGCCAACCCCCTGTGAGGAGCCCTGTGCTGCCCCGCTCGGTGTGCAGGGGGAGCCCGGCACCCGCACAGCCCGACCGCTCCCAGGCTCCGTGTCTGTGGCACGAGGTGCCTCCCCGTGTACCTCCTGTAGCCCCCGCCCTGGGAGCTGATCCCCCTCTCCCACGTAGACAGGAACCTGCTGACAGCAGCACCCAGCCGCAGGCAGCCCCTGCCCTCCCCAGCCCCTGGTTACGGGTCCAGGTCCCCTGTAACACAGACTGTAAATATGACTGAGCCCATGTCAATAAAGAGCCCTGTTCCAGCTTGGGGGCCCAGCAGTGAGTCCTGTCCCTGTGCCTGGTTGGTACAGCTCGGCTCAGGGAGTGACTGTCAGGCTCCCAGGGGGCCCTCCTTGCTGCCCGAGGGTGAGTCCCTGCACTTCAGGGTGCTGGGGTGGTGCTGACTGGGGGTTGGCCCGGGTGAGCAGGGGCATTGCTGGGGCTCACAGGGGTGCCCAGCTCCACGCAGGTGCCAGCTGATGTGTTTGCCCTTTATTAGCTGTGGCTCTGGGCTGGTGTGGCAGGGGCTGAGCACGGCTGGTCGGGGCAGCAAGCACCTGCCTGGTGCAGGTGCCAGGTGTGGCCACGAGAGGTGGGACTGCACAGCACGGGGTTGCCTAGGCTCACATGCCTAGGCTCTCCCAGCTGGCTCCTGTGCAGTCACAGCACCTGGGCCAGGAGTGTGTCCCAGTGCTGCAGGATGGGGTGGACAGATGAGGGACAGGAGCTGCCTCTGGAGTGGAGAGCGGGAGGGAATTGCTCAGAAATGCTGCTTGGAAGGTGGCTGGTTCCCTGCCTGTGGTGCAGTGCAGGGAGGAGGTAAGGCACAGTGGCCTCATGGGCACAGTGGCCAGATGGCTGGGGTGCTGCTTGGGTGGGACTCAGCACAGCTCTGGTGGCAGAGTTCTGACATGGGCTGGAGCAGAACTGCTGCACCTGAGCAGGATGGTGAGGGCTGGTAAGAACATCGGGGCAGGGAAGTCTGGAGGCAGGTGGGTCCCCACGCCAGGGGGCACCTGGAGGGCAATAGCCAGAGTTGGCAGGAGACAGGGTGGCAGTGCCCGGTGCCAGCCTGGGCATTGGGTGCACAGAGATCCCGTGACTGCACAGGATGCTCTGGGTAGATGCTCTGGTGTCGATGCTGCAAGGGTGGTCCAGCAGGTGAGGGTCAAGCAGGGCCCTGGGGTCCAGCAGCCAGCTGGGCACAGGGGCAGCAT